AAAGTCCCAAGTGATCAAAGCACTCATTCACTTCTTTGGAAAGCGTGAGGAGGGCTACAGATTCATGTGTATTGCACCTACTGGGGCTGCAGCTGCTCTAATTGGTGGATCTACATATCATTCAATTTTGGGAATAGTTCGAGGAATGGGTTCAAATGGATCAGACCACGTGGCTAGTTTGGCTCAGGTCCGGGCACGCATTCAGCATGTGGAATACATGTTTTTGGATGAAGTGAGCATGGTGAACTGCATGGATCTCTATTCCATATGCGCTAAAATGTGTGCTTCTCTAAAAAATGATGGCACTCCATTTGGGGGTATTAATATGATTCTTGCTGGTGATTTTGCCCAGCTGCCTCCTGCAGTAGGTGGTGCACCCTTGTTTTCAGGTGAAGTTGGACGTGTTATCCACCACACACATTCTCATACCCAGCAACAAATGTCCATTGGGAAAGCATTGTGGCACCAATTCACTACCACAGTAATATTGAGGGAAAATATGCGCCAGAAGTCACAGAGCCCAGAGGATGCAAAGCTTCGTGTTGCCTTGGAAAATCTCAGGTACTATGCCTGCACACAATCTGATTATAAGCTATTGCAGTCTAGAGTTGCTAGCTGTGCACCAGGCAGACCCTCTCTCAATGATCTAAACTTCAAGTATGTCTCTATTATCACCCGATATAATGCTGTGAGGGATGGCATAAATGAAAATCTGTGGCTCAGTTTGCAAAGGATCATGGGCAGGAACTAGTCAACTTTTATTCTATGGACAGACTAGGATATAATATGAGTGAAGACATGCCAAAGCATACCCGGAAAAAGGCAACTAATCCCCTTAGGAAAACAAACATTGCCTCTACTGAACTCCGGGATCTCTTGTGGAGTTTGGATCCAAAAATGACTGCACATATGCCAGGAAAGCTGTCTTTGTGTGTTGGAATGCCAGTGATGATTAAAAACAATGAGGCTACGGAGTGCGGAGTAACCAATGGTGCTGAAGCAGAGATTGTAGGCTGGAAAGCCAAAGACATTGATGAAGACAAGCAAGCACTGATAGCGCTCTTTGTCAAGCTCAGCTGTCCCCCAAAACCTATTCAGCTACCTGGACTGCCTGTGAATGTAATCCCTATCACTCCAAATGAGCGAAAGATAGTCTGTGCTATGCCAAACGGGAAAACACTTGGGATCTATCGCTCTCAGGTCTCTATTCTAGCCAACTTTGCAATGACAGACTACGGCTCACAAGGCCGGACTAGGAAATACAATGTGATAGATATTCAAGAGTGTGGCAGCCACCAGTCAGTATACACCTGTCTGTCCAGGGGTTCTACACTTCAAGGCACTCTGATTGTACGACCTTTTGATCCTAGCAAAATAACTGGAACCATCAGTGGTCGGCTGAGACAAGAGTTTAGAGAGCTGGAACTGCTGGATAATATTACCAAACTCAGATGGGAAGACAAACTCTCTCCAAAGGTCACTGGCATCACTAGAAATGAGCTCATCTACTCATTCAGAAAGTGGAAGGGAGAAGACTATGTGCCAAAAACAGTGCACAAGTCTCTGAAGTGGGGTACAAATAGCAGGTTTGATATGGAAGATGTCACAGAGGATGCAGGCTGGCAGATTGTTTCTGGAAAAAATGATCTGATAAGAGCTGAAAAGACAGCACCTACAGATGAGTTTCCAAATAGAAACAAGGTGTCCCAGAAGTATGTAGTAGCCAAGGGAAGCCAGGCCTTGCCTGCAGTGAGCACTTTTGTGGGAAAGCCTTCTGGGAAGCGCAAAGCCTCTGATAATGCTGAAAGCTCTACCAAGCGACCTAGAACCACCAATCTCTCTGCTGGCTGCCCTTTCAATGGTTTGCCCTGGGACAGTGTCAACTGTAGCTGTGCCTATGACAGCATTCTGACCATACTAATGGCTGTGCACAAAGAGAATGCAAATGTATGGAACGAGCACATTGCACCTAAAAGTGTCCTGCTTCAAACTGCTGGAGAGTTGTTTGATCAAGTCAACTCTGGATGCCTTACTTCCCGACTTGCCCGTGACCAGATCAGAGATATACTTGGTGCTCTGGATGACAGCTTGGGTTGCAAAGGCTCTGAAGGCATTGATGGATATCTACTAGCAAGGTACTTGTTTACTCCAGATATCCCTAGACTGCAGATGGAATACAGCTGCACCCAGTGTGAGTACACTTCTGCCTGGATTAAATGCAATGCAAGCAACCTTCAATACACCACCAAAGAATCCTCCTGGGTGTTTTCTATGGATCACAGAAGAGAACACCCTAAAGGCATGGGTCTTCATCGAAAATTGTCAGTTTCAGAGTGGCTGACCGTGTCTATGGAACAGAGTTCACACAGAGTTTGTTCAGAGTGTGATGCTGCTATGTATAAAAACTATAGCTATCTAGACCATGGACCACCCTTTTTGTATCTGATTCCTAGACTAATTAATGTGAATACGGAAACAGAAATCAAGCTGCCTGATGGGGAGAGGTACAGGCTTTGTGGAGTGATCTATTTCGACAACAATCTCTTTACAGCCAGAGTAGTGGATAAATCTGGTATCAATATGGCATCAAAACTGGAGACAAGTTCAAGTATGAGAAGAATGTGCTGCATATTAGCAATAATAGATGGCTGAAGGCTGGGAATTCAGAGCCACTGCCCTTGCATATATTAAGCAGTTTTGATGGGTGGCATTTTCTGTATATAGCACTGTCTTGCCTTCTGTATATATGTATAAGTAGGCTTACTAGTGAACAATAGCACTCTATATGGAGTACTCTTGTGCACTAGTAAGCTTATTTATATGTAGCAGATACAATGTGAATACTCCTTTTTCAGAATTGTTTTAATTAAGCTTTAAATCATTAAACCTCATTAATCGTTTCTGCCAGTAATGGCCCACTCCTACCAAGTAAAGTCACCACATGCAACACAAGTGTGTTTTTGTAGCCTGGTGATTAAATTGCTTTTAAGCCTTTGGTCTGTAACTGTGAGTGTGATTCTGTGGAGTTTAGCTAATTGAATCAAGTTGGGCTTCTGTAATCTGAGAACCAAGTGCTGCAAAGGAATTTTGACGAATGAAGCACACTCAGTATTGACTGTTTCACCAGAAGGTACATATTTGTGGTAGCGATAGTTCATATTCATCATCAATTCACCTTCTACCGGATATCTCCGAAGTTCACTTGCCGTCCACCATTTTCCTCGTACATTCTTAGAGGGGATGACAGCACCACCACACTGCAACAAGATCGGAGAAATGGCTAGACAGAGAGAACTTCTTACTGGCACCTGATATATGTGATATTTAGTACAAATGGCAGCCCAGAAATCATGGCGAAGCATGCAAGGTCGCATAAACCAAAGTCTGATCAGCCTGACCTGGCACCGGGGAGAATGCCAGGTCAAATAATGTGATGGATTAGGCTGAATATAGCCATATGTATATCCCTGTGTATATTCTGAATGGTTCTCAACTAGCAAATGATAAATCACATGGATGTGACTAAAGGCGCAGATGGACAGAGCTTGCAGTAGAGGTGCTCATCCTAACCTCGTCCCAAAGGGACCTGGGGCTTTCAACCAAGGTGCCCAGTGTAACCTGAGACGTGTAGTATACATCACACAGAGGGGGACAATCTGCAAACGTGTGAGTAACATGAAACAGTGAACAGAAATAATAGCGAACTTACGGCATGGATCAAACCGGTTTGCAGAAAGTGATGTGTAGTTGGCATGCATAGAGACATGCCATGTGCACTGGATGAGCCATAAAAGGCCCAATAGCAAGGCAAATGTGAGCGGAGAGTGGGCAGACATTGTGGTTCGAGTTGAGAAGTGAGAAGCGCTCAAAGGCGGCCTAGCTGAACTTCAACTTCAACCGCCACCAAAATCCCATACTCATGTGATTTATTACTAAGCATCATGGCAGACAGATTTATGATTAATGAGGTACGAATGAATCGTTCTTTATGGGGTGGGCTCTGGCTGCGACGCGCAACACCCTTAACTCAACGCCGTGGGAATATATTCCAGACTCCGATTACTCTTGACTAGCACAGCCACTTCCCACGCATAGGTTTACTACTTACTCCCATCACCCTAGCTCTGGGTTAGGGTCCCCCTGTAGGGTTCCACTAGCGCTGGGTTTGCACTGCCACCTGGGCCTAGCGCTTCACTCCTTATTCCACTGTGTAGTGCCTGTTAGTGTCTATACCTATTCAACTAGACTGAGATGGGCGCTCTTTATGGGCTTCAGTCAGACTCTATGTGGACTACTACTAGCAATATACTCAAGATTTATTGGAATTGATTCGAATTTTGAAGGGCTGCTTTCAGAAAAGTGAGGCTTCTGCAAGTTATTAGACGCCCAGTGGCTGTAGCGCCCTGCCTCTGCCCATTGCACCTATGCCTGCCGACTAGTAAATCAGATCAATTCGATATAATGCTGATTATATTCATGGAGCTAGTCCACATAGTAGCCAGTCTAGATGTCAACAAAGCACTCATATCAATGCAGTGCTGAAAGAACTACAAGGTCTATGACATATGGTTCATATGTTGTAACTGTTGGTATGAGATCAGATGATGTCTGTTGAAGATGGTTGTAGATTCGTTGGATGGGCATTGATAATGCGGATGTGGTGGTATAGGTCATGTGATTCTAGAAGCAGATGCGATGGAATGGTTTGAGTAACACTGCTGCAGCACTATATGTACTGTATATGGCTGATTATAGGCTTGTTTCTGGGCCAATCACTATATATGTAGGTGTATTAGAACACTTCTTCGAAGGGCTACAAGACAGTATATGTTATGTTATGTATTGTGCTTTGCAGCTGCTATACTGTAGCAACTACTACTTGGTAGTGCTGACTGGGTTATAGTGCTGTGCCTGAGAATATGCTTATGTAACATACACCATTCAAAAGCCACTTACGAGACGTACTTGGAACAGCTTGAGTCATAAGAAACAGACAAGAAATGAATGATAGAGAGGGTGTGCAATGTTCCCAGATGCAGTTGCCTAATATGGTGTGTGAGAAAACTGTTACATAAGTGCCACCAGCGCACTCTCATCGCTCCTGCCACTGCTCCTCCTCTCTTGGGGGACTCTCATCCACCCTTCACCTCTGTAGCCTGGCTTTTGGCCAAAGTCAGTGCTTATGAGTGGGAGGATGCCCCCCACAGTCCCTGTGCTCCTGTACCATGCCTACTTGGTGCACCAATTTAGAGCGGTGGTCCTGAGCCTGGGATGCCTGCGACATTGCCATTTTGGGTGGCCTGGTCGTTGGAGCACAGACCGAGTTCTGTGTGAGATGGATTCAGCATTCTCTTCAACTCTCTGGTAAGCTTTGGGTGTCTGTGGGTGTTAGGTAAGTGTGCCTTTGTTGATATGCTCATTCCCATGGTACTTTAACGTCACTGTACCTTGTTCCATGCCCCATTACCTCCAGAACACTGCCAGATTGCTCCCAGGTGTGTGCTCTTTCTGTAGACCCCCCATTTATCCCCCACTTCGCATTTTCACCCCCTTCTGTGCATATTGATAGTGTGGGCTGGCACAGCGCTCATGGGCGTCTATTTCAGAGGCGCCCATAGCGCTGCTACATCCACAAGCCTCACTTGCCATCCATCCCCTTCCCATGGTTGGATCTGCTTCATTTTTGGTTAGTAGGCACTAGTAGTCCTGCACATACTATCTATGTACTTTGTTTCCTAAGTTTGTATGATTTGAGCCCATAACAGCATGTTTATGCCCTGGGACCAGCCACCCAACGCATATGGGCGCCACTGGGCGCCTATTTTCGCACCCAGCCACAGCCACCACTCCCAGCTACTGCAAGCCACACCAAGCCACCTAAAATTGTCATCCACAAGCCCTGGCTGCAATCCACCCTCTTTTGGTGGGGCTGTGCTACCCAATCTTTGTCAGCTGCCTCTCCCATGCCTCTCCACCATATATGGACACTGTTTGCCACTATTTGCCCCCTCCTCCCCTTGCCACAGCTGCCACAGTGGCTCAAAGTGCAGCTAGGTGCCTATTTTGAATGCTCTTTTCAAACTCAGCTCAGCTCACCTGGTACAGCACCTGGGTGGGGGACCCAGGAGCCTTGGGTTCGATCCCTGGTAGTGCCGCTTTTTTCTACATGTGGCTGTGCTATGCAGGCCTGGTTGTAACCATGGGTATTCAGGCTTTGTAAAATCCAATCAATTGTCTAAAATCCTCATTATATTCATGTAACCAGGCACTATAGAGTGTGTTGCTCATGCACTCACAGCTTTGCTTTAAATGCATTAGATCAGGCACAGTATAGATGTTATCACTGGTGCCTACTAACTTTAAATTGCTTCTGTGATCTCAGTTCTTATCTGTTGGGGTGATTGTATATGCATCAGAAAGCTATACAGAAGGCCTACATGACTGCAACCTCTTTGTCTTCTCTAGTTCCCCCTTCAGGTGGTCTAGCTATGTAGAATGATAGTGTGTATTCTGCCTCTGTAAAATCAAATACAGCACAAATTGAGAAGGGCAGCTATAACACAGGGTGTTGTAACTGTATTGGCTTTGATATGCATAGTAAGCACTTTAGTCCTAGCTTCCACAATGTTTGGACTCCTGCTATATGTTCTGTTCTTGTCTGTCTGTGGTGATAGTAGTGGTGTTTAACACAACATTAAATGTAGCATATTAAGGTCTCTCATAGCTTATCATTATATTCCACATCTCATTAATTGTTTTCTGCCAGTAATGGCCCACTCCTACCAAGTTCACATTTCAGCAGCAAGACGACAGTTAGAATTATCAGAGAAAGGCAGACATATTTATCACACAGAAATGGCAGACAACAGATTTCATTGCAACAACGGTGGGATAACACCCCAGTAAAGACAAAGAAGAACAATATGCAGGTTGCTAAAGGCAGCAAGGGCAGGAAACAGATATCAAGAGGACATTAGACGAGTATAAGAGGGATGAGCTACAGCCAGAGTGGTGAGCGAGCATGAGAGTCATATGTAAGCAAGTCCACAGAGGAGATATTATGCACGTGACTGAGGGAGAGGGAGATATCGGTGAGGACAAAAGGGTAAGCAGGCTAGAACAATATACAAGTCTGGGATAGAGCAGGAGAGTCTGAAGCAGAGGTATATACTAGGCTATGACGATGACTATATAAGCACTGTCCAACTGGGATGATGATCGCAAAAGCTGTCCGACAAGGATGACAACCCAAACACTGTCCGGAATGACAAGACGACAAGTAACTGATGATATCTAAACATCATGCATCTTGTGACTGCCGAGCTTGACAGCACTGGCGAGGTTCACAGAGATGCCGAAGTCAACATCAGACCAGCCGTAGGTGTTAACGGTGAAGCACACCAGAGCAAGGTCATAGAGGCGGAGCTCGTTGCTGTGCGGCTTTGGGCCGGAGTAGATCGGGAGGTTGGACAGCTCCTTGACACGGAAGCCGGGGGTGGGGTTGTTAACCTTAAAGTGCTGGCTGGCGTCAAAGATGGGGTCTAGATAGATATGTTTTTAGTATGCAGTGTAGAAGGGGATTAAATGCACTTACAGTCGTCACTGTTGTTGTAGAAGGTGCGGATCATCTGAGCAGTGCTGCGAACATTCTGAGTGCCAGTGATCCCCATATAGGAGATGGCCAGAGCTGGAAGTGTAGGGTGAGCATGTGAGCGTATAAGCAAAATTGATATACTCACGGAGATTGTTGGTGTTCCCTGAAAATGAGCAGAAAAATATTTGTGAGTTGGATGCACGTAAAATGACAAACACACTCACCTCTGAAAGTCGATGGCTGGGACACAGTTGGAGACACAAGGTAGGTATGGGCCCAGAAGGACATGATGATCTGGGTAGATTCCGTAGCGTCGTTCCAGAACTGGTTGTATCTGGTGGGAATGGCACCCTTGTTGATGTTGAAGGCATTGAGGAAGAAGCGACCATAACGTGAGCAAGCCATGTCGCCTATGAGCATGAGCTGGATGGCCTTGGCCTCCTTCCTGCCAGCGTTGAACTTGTAGATGCTGGTGCCCCACATCTCACAACGGAGGACCACACCTACGGTGTTGAAGAGCGCCTGTTGACCCTTGTTCGGTCCAAACCAGAAGCCAAGGTTGTGAATAGGTCTTCTGGATCCCCATGAGCACATAGTGGCACCGCAGCAGCCGCTTTAGGCAGCTGCTCTGGCATCTATGCAGATCCCTGCTCTTAGACTAGGGTTTGCTCCGCACTTTTCACCAGATGCTGGGTGGGCTCTTTCCTTACCTTCTCACCACAGCTTCTAGGTTCGTCCTTGTATATCCCTGGTCCCTTATTCGATGCAGCTTCTCATCACAGCCTCTAGAGTGCGTGTGGGATCTCCAGAAGTCGCCAGAGGCCTAGGATTCAACATGCTATGAGCCCTGCGCTCTGATCACGTCCAAATCCTCCCCCTTCGCTTCCCCTTCTTCCCAGCCGGTAAATTGCAGTCAGGACGTGTTCCTTTGCGTGTGTTCGCTTCCAAGTCGCTCGCCGCCGTCCCTTCCGGCACCTCAGCGCATCAACACACCCCTATCCTCATGGGACGTCATCCGGACATACTCTGCGCCGAAAAAACCCCTATCCTGGTGCCATCCAGCCTCGCATTCACCCCTATTCCCATTTCCAGTCGCTCTTCTCTCCCTCCATCCCGTGCTCGCTATCGCCCCCATCTGCGTCCCCTTCCCTCGCAATTTCAGCCCCACACTCCGCACCATGTCACATTCATCCTCCCTTCAGATAGCGCCCCTACCGACTGCCAACTACCCTCAATGGAGTGGCGAAATACAGGCCTACCTCATGAAACATGACCTCTGGGGCATCGTTCACACAAAGGAGTCAGAGCCACCTGCAGATCAGGACACAGAGCGGAAGGATTGGAGGCGTTGTCATGATAAGGCAGCTGGTGAGCTCTTCCTGGCTGTCACCACCGAGCAACGAGCGCATTTTGTGGGCGCACAAGACGACCCTACCACCATGTGGAACGCACTCAAGGCCTCGCACGTCAAACACCGCCCTGGTGCGCGATTCAACACATACAATGCGCTGTTCTCCATCCGCAAGGAGGAGAACGAGTCGCTCAGTGCGCTGACATCGCGTATCGAGGAGGGCATGCGCACTGTGCAGAACCTGCACAGTGCCAAACTTCACCCTCGCCTCCCTGGACGACGAGCTGCAGAGCATGTGCCTCATCTGAGCGCTGCCCGACGCGTTCACCTCGTTCATCGACGCGCTGCTGCTCAAGGACAACCTCAGCAACGCCGACATTCTCGACACCTTCCAGAACTACGAGCTCCACCACTCCCAGGCCGCGTCTTCGTCCCCTGCGTCGTCCACTGCGCTCTCTACGTCGTCTGCCCCTGTCACCTGCGAGTTCTGCGGCATCCCGAACCACACGATCGCCCAGTGCTTCAAGTTCCAGGCAGCGAAGAAGGAGGCTCAAAAGCCACGCCCTGGACGCAGGGAATGCGCGAACAAGGCCGACACTTTGTTGCCCAAGTCCGACGCTCCTAGCGCGACCGAGTTCGCAGGCAACACAAGTCTCCGCTCCCCCTCCCCACTCTCGCCTCTCCAGCTCGATGCTGATGTGCGATGGACTGCAGACTCTGGGGCCACGTCTCATATGACGCCCCATCGCCACTGGCTGCGCAACTACGAGCCTCTGCGCATCGCGATCCGCCTAGCGGACAATCAAGTTGTCTACTCGTCAGCGTCGGGTTGGTAGTCTTCAGGCCAGTGCTGGGAGGGCGCGATGCGCGCGATGTTGAGTTTACAAGAGTCCTACATGTCCCTGCGTTACGAAACAACCTCCTCTCTGTCCTATTCCTCACCAAACGCCGCGGTTTCACCATCACGATTGGCTCGACGCGCATGGACTTCACTCTCAACGGCTCGACGCTCTTCTCTGCCCCTATCACGGACAGCAACATCGCCTACCTCGCCGGCACCACTGTGCCCCTTCCTCTCGCACTAGCTGAATGCGCTGCGATCGCATCCACCCTACCTCTCGACGAGCAGCTGTGGCATCGCCGCTTCGCCCACTCGCACATCGACGGCGTGCGCAAGCTCCACGCGCAAGAACTAGTCACTGGCCTCACCCTGAAGTCGTCAGCGCACCCTGAACCACTGTGCGAACACTGTCTCGCAGGCAAGAGTTCCCTTCGTCGTCTACACGCACATCGCAGCGCGACGCCCTCATTCACACCGATCTGAAGGGACCAATGCCCAAGCAGACGCACCAGGGCTACAAGTACTGGCTCATCTTCGTCAATGACTGCTTGCGCTATCGCGTCGTGTTCCTGCTCAAGTGCAAGGACGAGATGTTCGCCACGTTCAAGGCCTACGTCGCGTGGTTCGAGATGCAATCGGGCGAGCAGATCCGCTGTCTGCGTGACGACAAGGGTGGCGAATACATGTCCAACAACATCAATGCCTTCTGCGTCGATACAGGCCTCAACAGAATGGGGTCGCTGAGCGCGCCAACCGCCTGCTCGCTGACGGTGTCACCACAATGTTGTCTGAGTCTGGGCTGCCTCAGACGTTCTGGGGCGAAGCTGTCCTCTCCCTTGTTCACGTGCTCAACCGTTCGTTCACCTCTGCGTGTCCGGACGCGACGCTGTACGGGCTGTGGCATGGACGCAAGCCAGATCTATCGCACCTGCGCGTTTGGGGCTGCACTGCGTATGTGCACGTCCAGAAGGACAAACGCAATGGTCTTTCTCCTCACATGGAGAAATGCGTCTTCATTGGCTATCCACAGGGCATCAAGGGCTGGAAATTCTACGATCCACTCAGCAACCGCGTCACCATCAGCGAGCACACCGAGTTCGACGAACAATACTTCCCTGGTCTCAAACAGCCGTTCACTCGACCCACCCTCCCTGCCCCTCCTGTCGCTTCTCTGCTGCTGCTCGACGACTTCGACGACGCGCCTGAGCCTGTGCATCCTGTGCCACATCAGGGGGGTGTTGTGCCGCCTCCTCCGGAGCCTGCTGTTGATCCACCACAGGATGCGCAGGAGGCTGAGATCAAAGTCGATCTGCCCAACGCTCTGCCTGCTGGCCCTGCACCGCGCGAGGACTCTGCGCCACCTATCGCACCTGTTGCGCAGCGCAAACGCGCTCTCAAGGGAGCTGCTCCCACTCGCACAAGCTCACGTGTCTCGTGCCCGCCTTAGCTAAACCTGTCATTGTCTACTTCATAGCCCTCAAACACGCCCTGTGGAAGACCATTGGCTGGCGTGTTTGTGATAGAAAGCCTCTTGAGGTCGGATGTGGGGTAAAGGCAATTGTTAAGGCCCA